AGGAAATAAAGAGGAAAGAGAAAAAGACAGGAAGAGGAAGGAGGGAGGGAAGGAGGGAGGGAGGGAGGGAAGGAGGGAGGGAGGGAGGGAGGGAGGGAGGGAGGGAGGGAGGGAGGGAGGGAGGGAAGAGAGAGAGGCAGGGGAGGTTAGGGAAAGGGGCATGGAATGAATGTCTCCTAACTCTGTTTTTCTTTGCATCTGAGTACCAAGCATTCTGAAGTCAATATGTTGAAAAGACCATTCATTCTCAATGAGATTTCCTTGGCACATTTTCTTCTTGAAAATTGAATTTTAATATATAAGTTTCTAGCTTAAAGGAATGTCAGGTGATTAGAACCCCACAGCTTGGGGCCTCTCAGTTGACTTCCTTTCTCACTTCATATACATGTAAGGCCACTGCGTTCTTTTAGGATTTCATAAATCAGTGTCTTCTCATGGCTTTATTTCTTTATTGGTTAGTAATCTTTTGGTCATTTGAGTGCTTAGCCATCTTCCTAAGGGACATGGCAGCTGCTTCCATATTCAGTGACTGAATTAAACCAAGAGACCTTTGAGTATAATTGTGTGTGTGTGTGTGTGTGTGTGTGTGTGTGTTTGTCTGTGTAGAATATTTTCAAATTGACTTGGTCAATATCCAAAATGATGGTTTTTCTGGGTAGAATAAGACTCCATCTCAATTGGAAAGATGCCTATGTCCTATCTTTCAATTTCCTGGAAATATCTTTTGAGGTCCAAGTTTGCTGATGTTTTGTTTTTCATGGTTTGTCGTTTTACTGCTCAGGTTTTTGGTGTTTTATAACATTTTTTCCACCTAAGCTTAGGGCATGTAAATTGAAACTAAAGTTTATTTTAAAACTTTGATAGTTTTAGTTCTTATGGGTGTATGGATTCATTGTGAGTTAATTTTGAGTAGGGTATGAGGTGAGATTTAAGCTCTTTGTTTCTCCCCCCTCTTCCTCCATCTCTCGTCTTTCTCTCTTACTTTTCTTTTTCTTTCCTCTTTATTTCCTCTTCATCCTTCTCCTAACCCCCATTTCCTTTTTATCTGAGTACCAAACATTCTGAGGCCAATTTATTGAAAAAAAATCATCCATTTTCAATAAAATTGTCTTGGCGTAAATATTTTATTTTTAGTGTGTGTGTGTGTGTGTAAGTGAGTGAAGGTGTGGATTCCCGTGGAACAGGAGTTACGGTAGTTGTGAGTCACCTTATGTGGGTGCTCTTATGCAAGAGCAGCCCATACTCCTAACAACTGAGTTATCTCTGCAACCCAACAGTTCATTTCTTATAAATGCACAGCTACGTACTTGTGTTATATTGTTATCAACTTGACACAAGCTAGAGTTGTCTGGGGAGAACCTCAGCTGAGACAATGCTTCCATTCGTTTGACCTGTTTGTGGGCAGTGTTTTGATGACGAATGTGGAAGGACACAACCCACTGTAAGAGGTGGTAAGACTGATAGGTGTGTCCCAGGCTGTATCAGAAAGCAGGCTAGGCAATCCACGATGAGCAAGCTGGTGAGTGGTGTTCGTCTCCTCAGTTCCCTCTTCCAGGTTATGGCCCTGAGTTCCTGCCTTGGCTTTTATCAATGATGGCCCGTAACCAGCACATAGAAGACAAATAAAACCTTTCCTCCCCAAATTACCTTGATCAATGTTTTATCATAGAGGTATAATAGAGGGCCAAATTAGGTCAGAAATTGGTACCAGCAATAGGGCATTGATGTGAGAGATTTCATCATGTTTTAGAGACCGTTGTGGAGGATTTTGAAATGTTGGCTTGAAAAAGCCATTGACGGGTCAGGATTAATGAGATCCCGTGGAATCTAGGAAGAGGATGCTGAGAGAAACACATGCTGGCTGTGAACTTTCAGGGGGAAACAAAGGATCAGGGCCATTCATGTGCTATATTTTATTAAGACAACGTGGAAGTGAAACTTTTGTGCTGCTTAGATTTTTTTTTCCAAGTTGAGATAGCTACCATTATTTAGGAAAAGGGATCCGATCCTCCGTTGAGGAAGTGTCTCCATCAGATTGGGACAACCAATGTGACAACTGGAGGCTAGGGACAAGAAGTCAGCTGTGATTAAGAAGAGACCAGCAGCACTGAGCTGAGATCTTCTGGAGTATTTCTCAGGGTGGCACAGAGGGAGGCTGTGGCTTAGAGGAGGTCAAGGCTGCATCTCATGCTGCCAGATGAAGGTGTCCTGTGTAAGAGTCTCCCAGGTGCTACTGGGTTTGAGTATGAGAGCTTCGGGACTGAGGTATGGTGGAGAGTGTATGAAGCTTGGCACAGGGAGAGACGAGGAGAGATCATTGGGGAAGAAGGCACAGTCATTGTATAGATTCCAGAATGGAAGGGATCAGGGTCCCCCAGGGGGGTCAGTTGTGAAGGTGAAGTGGTAAAGTCTGTGAAGACCCCAACATACTGGAGCTGTCAGGACTGTAGAAAGACTACCAAGGTAAGCAGCAACTGTGGAATGGAGCCAACCTGAGCCTGTGAGAGGAACTCTGTGTGTTGAGTGGCAGAGCCTGAGAGCTCGAGTCCCTCAGCCCTTTGGAACCCAGAACACCATGAGTGAGTCCTCCATCTGGGACATTGGGCGACGGGATTTCATTTACACTGCTTGTTTCTTTGTTTTGTTTTTGATATTTTTTTCAGAGTGTGTGCTCTGAGTCTTCACTTTTGGAATAAGGAGTATATAAGATTGTTTTTTTTTTTTATTTTACTTGGGACACACACAATTAAGAAACATTGGGTATTTTAAAAAAGACTGAAGTTTTAAAGACTATTAGTCTTTTGGAAGTTTGAATGTGTTTTATATTGTGATGCTGATATTAAAATAAGCTCTTCAGAATAAAAATGAAAAGAAAGGCCATGGTTTAATAGAGATGTGTCACTTGACACATTTTTGTCTACTTTTGTAGAATTTTGCCTATGTGACACAAGGTATAGTCATCTGGGGAGAGCGAACCTCCATTGAGAAAATGCCTCTATAAGATTAGCCTAAAGGCAAGTCTGTGGGCCATTTTATTGATCAGTGATTGATATGGTGGTGCCCCCCCAGGAGTGATCTTTGGTAGTTTAATAAAGTAGGTTGACCAAACCTTGGGGAACCTTGGTGATTTCTTTTGTTGTTGTTTTCAAACTCAGATTTCTTGGAAGTTTCATATCCTGGAATGATTTCCATTCCCAGGCAAACTTGAATCACTGATTACCCTCATGTGAATTCAGACAAATAATAATTTCTAAAAGCAGTAGTGAGAATAATCAATTTTATGTCTTTCTGCCTCTATCTATCTATCTATCTATCTATCCATCCATCCATCTATCTATCCGTCCATCATTCATCAGATAACTGTAGCATCAGTTGTCTATTTCTATGCTCAATGCCTCTACCCGTGATCTATTTATTATCTCTGGCATCTATAGCAAACACTACTTACCTATCTATCATCTGTACCTATGTACCCACCTAGTGCCTATCAATCTCTCTGTTTAAATATGAGGGCAGACTATATTTAAGAGCTTCGTTGAATCCTGATTGCACAAACTTGGTGACAGGGAAGGTTTGTGACTAGGGAGTCTGAGGTGAGGACAGCCGCAGCAACATCTGAGTGAGAGACATAAAGCGCAACAAGGGCATAAGTGGAGGGGTGACTTCAGTCGAGCATGACAGGCTCCTGGTGTCCCAGGAGGGTAGGCAGGGGTGGATGACAGTAGTTGATCGTTAAAGAAGTGAGGTCATGGGGAACAGAAGGTGATTAGAGATGTGGGGTAGGGCAGGAGATGGGATAAGGGTGGACTGTGTGAACCAAAGGCCCATGTGAGCAGAGTCACTGTCCTGAGCACCAGGACAGCTCAGAGGCCAGAGTGGAGGGTAAAGTGAGATCGTCTGCTTGCACACAGTCTCTGCACTTCCCCAGGCAGCCTCAAGCATGGAGTTGGATGTGTTTGCACAGGGATAAGAACAAACAGGCTGGGATGGAACTGAACTTCATGAACATTAATCTGAGCAAAGGGGACCTGCTGGAAGACTGAGGAAGCCAAACCACAAGTCTGTGTGCACATTGTGGTGGGGTTGAAGTGTTGCTGGAGTTGCATACAAATGGAATGATCTGGAATATTAGAAGGTAGCTGTGTGCTAGGCGGGTGCCCAGCTACTGAGATCCCCAGCAGCTGGAGCCAGAAATCTGGGAAACTTGGGAGAGGCAGCGGCAGATGTAAGACTGTGGGTGACTGAGGGGACAGACCTAGTCCCTGTGATTCCCATCAATTTGAAAAGCTTGTTCACTATAGCTTATCGGCACTGTTGGGGGTGGGGGAAGATACATTTCAGTAAGAACAGGAATCCTCTGGGTAGATCAAGAAGGTATGTTAGTGTTAACACATACCTGCACAGCCATGATGACTGCGGAATGGTGCCAGAGCTTGTGTCTTTGGAATGGGGCTCTGGAAGTTGGAGACACTCCTCCGTCTTGATCTCTCAGTTTTATGACTGTGCTTTGTACACAGTTGCTGCCCAATGGATACTGACTCTAATGATTTGTGTGAAGACATATTCTCTCATGAAGGATAGTTTCCTCCTGGAAAGAGCATAGGGAGTCCCCTGTGGGAGCAGATCTGATGGCTGTGTGAAGATGGCCTCAAGACAACTGAAATGTCAGCAGTTTCTTTCCTCAGAGAGACCCAGAGAAATTCCCCACATGTTTTCCTTCTCAGGCCCAAGTCAAGGAGAAGCTTAGCTGACACCCTTGGGAACCACTGGGCCAGCTGGATTCCAGCAAGCAGCCAAGGACAGACAGTCCAGAGATCTCTGTCTCATCAACACGTTTCCAGGTTGCTCTTAGCAGAGTTTTCATGTCCCTATAGGAAGACAGCCTGCCCCATGGTCTGGGAACACCTCTCAGAAATTCTTACTTGCTGTTTTATTGAGCCATACTTCGAAGGAATGTAACGCTGCTACAACTCAGGTAGTGAGGGAAAATAAAACAGAATTCAGGGACCAAGTCCACTATTCATGTTGACTCTACTGGGATTCACCACTTTCCCCATGAAGAGAAGGCTGTTGCTGGCCTCATCCAGGATTAGGAGGAGGAAGGATCTGTTGAAGTGGAGGACAGCAAGGCCTGGCTCGGGTTGGATTTGGCTGTGGGAGACATCCTTTTCATCTCCATCCTCATCCACAGTCAGCTCTGCCCTGTGTACTGCCTTTGGAGACCAAGGTTCACAGAGTTGAGGGAACAGGAGCTCTGCCAACCCCATCTTTAGCATGTTACACTGACTCTCTCTGCACTGGGCCCAGGATGCCCAGAATACAAGCCTTGTGCCATCCTGCTAGAGGAAGGCAGATGATGTTGAAGAATGGGAGGAGACTTATGTCTATCTCTGTGAGTTCCTGGATACTGGGGGTTGTCCTCCACTCTGCACCCTCCATAAATTCCCCTTACACCACCTCCTCACTGTGCTCCTAGCAAAGAAGCAGCCTGGGTTACAGGGAGCCGAGTGCTGTGTAGCCTCAGCTGTTTGTACTGTGTGGCTCCTGTGGTCCTTACACTATTCATGGCCCAGACTCCCGGAAAGATAGCGTTCTTGCTCCTGCCCCATCTCAAGCCACCAGGTCCTGGAAGTTCCACCTGTGCAGTGCATCTTTACCAGAATCTCTTTCCATTCCCACCCGTATCTTTGAAGCCTCCTTTGCTGTCACCCACTAGCTTGTTTCTCTAGTGATCTGGATCACTCTCCTTCCACTGGCTCAGGGTCCATCCAGCCATTTCCTGCCAAAGCCCCCAATGGCCCTCAGACCCCACCCATGGAATGTGATCAGAAAGCCAGGCCACTTAGTCAGAGTCCAGGATCTGCTCTTTGGGCCTCCCCTGCAGTTTGCCAGCCAGTATTTTAGCTCCCCTTCTCTCTGTTCCAGGGAAAAAACCCTTGTAAAGCTTGACCCCCACTCCACATTCTGTTGTACCTCAGTTCTTAACTTCTGCAGTGGAGAGTGGAACACAGGAATGACACAACCTATTTTTATATGGTACCACTCTTTTAGTGACCATTAAGGTTCCTTCCTGTCTCCAGGGGGATCAGATTACATCCATAGGCCCAGCATTGGTGCACCCAAGCTCCTGTCTCTTCCCTCACCAGATCATAAGCTTCAGGACCCAACTGTTTATTTCCCCAGATTAGCCACCTCTGAGGAACAGCCAGCTCAGGATATGCCTGGAGTTGAGAGTCACCATTTCCTTGTTTGACTTCAGAGAGCACCGTGAGTGCTCACTGTTGCTCTCTGAATAAGTTAGGAAAGGGAAACCACAGGAAGCATTATGCATAAGGAGCCTGGCGACAGGGGGTTAACCTACCGTGGTGACCCTCAAGGGTGCCTTTTGCAGGGTGATTCCTGAGAGGTCCATGTGTTTGTTGAACAGTTTAAGGTTACTGTTAACATGCTTGAACCTTTCCAGCCGAAGAGCAACAGGTATGGAGAATTTGGGGAAAAACAGCCACCTCTTCCTGCTCAGGGAAATGGAAGAAGAAAACAGAGTTGAAATCATGTTGTCGTAATCCACCGCAGACAGTGTACTCCCAGCACACAAACAAGAACAGCTGTGTCTACTGCACATCTGCAACAGGCAGGCTGTGCCAGGGACTCCTCAAGGCAATTTACTCTCCCTTGGCAATGCTGGGAAGTGGCCAGTGAGCTTGCTTTGAAATCTCAGATGGGGGAACTGAAGAGACTATGAGTCTATTGCAAACTTTAGAAAGCGCAACCAGCCTTCCCGAATCCTCCCGAGTTTTGAGCAATGCTTAGGCCCTAATCGTGAGCTTTATCTCTCAGTCAGTAGGACCCATCCTTATGAAAGGGGTCCCATGGACTTTTCTTCCTCCATCAGTAGAATCTCTCGTTGCACTTATTGTAAATTTTCCTCCCTAGAAGGTTATCCTGAGCACTGTTAACAGTCACTAGAACTCATTCTTATTGTAAAGGTCACAGGTGCTTTGTTACTTTGCTGTAGATTGTCTTTTGGGCCATGCCTAAAGCTTCCTTGTTATAATTGTCACTTGGAAAACTTTTTAAAACATCTTACTGTGTTTTAAGTGTGCAATAAAATAAACCTAGTTTTCAAACTCTGGACGTTCCCACCTAGTGCCTTCTGAGGTAGTGCCGATCTGAGCTGCATTCTTCACTTCGTAGGTTAGGAGATCAGACACAAAGACACACTGTTTTAAACCCTGCCAGTCCTTGAGCTGTAGTGTTACTTCTCATAGACAGGCTGCAGAGGAATGTTTGTCTGTGTTTCAGCAATACTTGCCTGGGTCAGGACTTCTCAGTCTTTAACACAAACACAACTTCCCTGGAACCTGAAGGCCTTGAGGTGCACCTAAGAATTCAAGCTTCCCACAAACATCCAGATGAATGAAGCAAAAAATACTGTCGCAGGCTAGACTTTGTGAAGCAAAACCATTAGATATATAAGAGCCGTGGTTCTCAACCTGTCACTCCTTCGGGTGTTGAAGAACCCTTTCACAGGCCTTGCCTGAGACCATCAGAAAGCACAGGTGTTTACATTAAGGGTTGCAACAGCAGCAAAATTACAGTTATGAAATAGCAACAAAAAATAATTTTGTGGTTGGGAGTCACCACAACTTGAGGAACTGTATTCAGGGGTCATAAGGAAGGTTGAGAGCTTCAGTTCCAGAGATGTTGGGCAAACTGATGTTAGAACAGGTCAGAGAAAGGCAAATGGCTAGAAAGCATAAGGCAGCCAGTAAAGAGGCTAGCTTCTGCTTCTTAGCAGGGCCACTAACAGGTCACCCATTCATAAGTGGCAAGGCAAGTACTTATCCAAACACCAGTTCCATAGCACTGTGGCCTTCTTAGTGACACATTGATCCTTTCTCTCTGTGGTAAGTGAGTGTAGGAGCTCATGTGCGTACGTAGAAGTGAAGGCCAAAGAAAGACAACAGTAGTGTTGTTCTTCCCAACCTTTCCTTTTTCTCGAGACAAGTCTCTCAGCAGTCTGAAGCTCAGTGTGCAATGCGTGTTGGTTTGTGGTTTTGGTGGCTTTGTCTTTCAGCTTGAAACAGCTAAGGGTCATCTGGGAAGAGGGCCCTCAACTGAGATTGAGAAAATGACTCCATCCGGTTACCTTGGTGCTAGGACGGCCAGCTTTTTTTATACATGGGTTTTCAGGGTTCAACTCTGATTCTCATACTTGCAAGGCAAGCCCTTGACCAACTGAACCATTTTCCCACCTCCCCTGTCCAGCATTTATCACTCTACAGTAAACTTCTTACACGAAGATACAGTTGACTGATACTGTGGTGACGATGGTTGTGATTTTGTGTATTTTTCCCAACTTTGAAAGGTGTGGATTGCTGAATCCTGTCTGACTATTTCTGTGTGACCAAGTTCCAGATCCTGTGTCATGACTCAAAGGCTTAAAGGTCCTCACCTTAAACCCAGAGCCACAGTGGACATGGAATAGTTCTGGTAGCACTGGGGGTTGTGTGTGTGTGTGTGTGTGTGTGTGTGTGTGTGTGTGTGTGAAGAGTCAAAAGAGCTGGGTTCTTACTTCAGTGGAAAGGGCTGAATCCACGTGTCAAAACTCTGCTCCAACAGTGCCTCCTCACAATCCTTAAGTTTTCCATCATTGGGAAGAAAGAAGACGCCTGAGATGCGGCAGGTGAATGGCAGCTGGAGAACATAGCTGTGCATCTGGGAGAAATACTGTAGCTGGAACCAGGCTATCTTCTGCATCATTGGTACCAGGGTAACGATCCCAGGACCTAACGAGAAGTGCCTCATCACTGTGTACTTCGGGTTAAAGGAATATTTCCATTTCCCTGATAAGAAAGTGCAGAGGAATCAGAGGGGGATGGGGCAGCAACATCTAGGGCACATCACACTATCTATCAGGGAGACTCTAAGGCTTCTACATGCCAGGAATGTTCCTTGTGTCAAGTCACACAGGCACATGTGAGAGATCCCTGCCCACACAGATCTTATAAAGGGAATATAAACAACATGGTCGATAAGAAAGCCAATGACCTAGGATAGGATACTGAGCAGGCAGAAATATCAAACAGAAGAGCCAGTTACGCACACACATAACGCACTAGAAAGTAGTGCCAATTAAAGACTTAACCGTACATTGGTCAAGTCATAGAACAGTTGGGAGAGAAACTTTCCCAAGAGAATAAGATGAGACATCAGGGAAGACATTGACTTAGGGACACAGGGGAGATGAGCAGATAGAATGAGAAAGGAAGAGACCATGAGAGGCGAGGCCAGAGAGGGCAGGAGTCCACCAGCTCCCGAGTCAATGGTGGAAGCAGTAGGTCTCTTAAGGACACCCATGAGCATTTGTGGGGTGCTCTAAGCACAGTTCTGAGTACAGTCCTTTCACGCAGCAATTGCTGAGCACTGTTTTAATATTATTGTGCTACTCTACCAAGTCAGAGCATGTTCTTTCCCCTGATATCTGCAGGAACAGCTATACTACAATCCTTTGGACACGGGCCCAAGAAGTTCTACAGCCTAACCTCCCCTGAGCTCCTTTTCTGGCTTCTATCTCTACAGCTAAGGTTTTGGCATGGACTCTGGTGGTCAGCTCTTAAAGCCTCTCTGGTCTGGCCCTACAGGGCTGTGGAGACACTCATCTCGGAGCTCCAGTTGGGGTCGGAGGAACCAGAGAGGACAAGAAAGATGACTTTCTTGCCTTGTAATCCTGACTGGATATGGCAAAATGTGGGTGTTTCACCGAAGAACCTTCCCTTCTGCATAAAGAAGCCCACTGTCTTGGGAAAAATAATCAGAAAGTCTTGATAGTGTTATTAGAGAAAAGAGGAATGAACTCAGAAGCAAGTTGTTCCCTCCTGCAGCTCAAAACTGACCATTTTCTGGGGTTCTAGGTTTCCAAAATCCACGCCTGCATTTCTTTTATTTTTTATTTTTTTACTTTATTTCTTTAAATTTTTTATTGGATATTTTATTTACATTTCAGATGTAATCCCCTTTCCCCATCCCCACCCAGGAACCCCCTAGCCCATCCCCCCTCCTCCTCAAGCCTGCATTTCTAAAAGAGTCAGTCCACATACCCACCAGACACCTGGCCATCCAAACTACCAAGAAGGCTCTCAGACTCCATGGACCAAACCAAAGCTTATTTATTTTTTTCTACAGAGCCTTCTTTTCTATGTAGCAATAGGAGAATAGGAGAAGCACCCATTCCAAGGCAGGAGCCAGGTTATAACTGAATGTAAGAGGTACAACAATTGTTAAATACAGGTGACATTCTGTGCTCCCTTGTTTTCTTCCTTAAGCTGACAGCTTCTCCATCCAGTGAGCTGGACCATGTCAACTGCCTACAACCCTCTTGGGCTTTGGAGGCACCCAACTCCGTGTCAGATCTCTCTATGCCTGGGAGAGCCACCTGATAGCTACCCAACCAGATCCTACTGTCTCAACTCCCTATTTCCTAAGTTATTGGGATGGTATTGAGCAGTACTGAGCAGTAGGCTGTAGGACCACTTAGCTCCTCCTTCAGTCCTTAGGAAGATATTAAGGAGTACTTCATTAATTCCTACATCCTACCCCACAGTATTTCTCAATACCTTCCTAATGGCTCAAAGGGCTAGATCAGCGATTTTCAACCTTCCTAACGCTACAATCCTTGAATACAGTTCCTCATGTTATGCCGACTCCCAACTGTAAAATTATTTTTGTTGCTACTTCATAACTAATTTTGCTACTGCTATGAGTTATAATATAAACATATGTATTTTTGGATAGTCTTAAGAGACACCAGTGACAGGGTCATTTGACACCCCTCCACCCCAAGGGATTGTGACACAGAGGATAAGAATCACTGGAGTAGCTGGAGTTGAGGAGATTTGAGAGACAGAGGTGTGGAAAGAATTAGGGAGTTGACACAAGAGGGAGGTATCCAGAGGTGGGCAAGAAAAGGACGCTGCCCCAAGCTGAAAGAGCAGAGACCTCCCAGAAAGAGCTAGAGTCTTGGAGGAAGTCTTGAGTCAGAAAGAGACAGAAAGGTTTCATTCATGGCTCACTGACCTTTAAAGAAATTATAATTGACCAGAAACAAATTAGTTGGTGGCTTCAGATTTCTCAGCAGCCTTGTAACTTTGCCATGGGTCTTGGCATCAATGGCTGAGTCTATCTGCTTTCTGGCCAACCCATGGTTCCCAAAAGAGACGAGGACGACATCGCTGTTGTAGGAGCTGTTGGCTAGTGCGAGAAATGTCTCTTTTGGCTTTAGAGTCTTGTCTATAAAGAGCAAACTTCCAGTGTGGATCCCGCAGTGCTCGGTATGCAGCAGGGTACTCAGCAGCTTCCCATACTGCATGGCGGCTTTAGTATCCAAGGCTCCCGTGACTCTGAACCCTAGATCCTGCAGAACCTGGTGCTGGGCTTCTGGCTTATTCTGGAAGATCAGCAGCACTAGAGGCACAATGATGCTGAGTGGAGAGAAGATTAAGTTCCTGCCTATTCTGGGCTCTGGTAGCTGTTTGTACAGGCTCAAGGCAAATTTTTGGTTGTTGAAGAGCGGAGGTGCCCCTTGGATCACTTGTATTCGTGACATGTTTGAGATCTCTGTGAGTGGTGTCTTTGGGTTACAGGAACAGGGAACCAGCCCAGGCAGGAGCAGCCAAAGGAACAAGATAGAGAGTGCCATCCTAGATTCAAAAAAAAGAAAAATCAGTAGGATCACTCAATTTGGCCCTGTGGTTCAACAGAAGACACAAGACTGCAAGGCTCCCCACTGCACTGCCCTGTATAGAGGCCTTAGGTTAGCTTTGGTTGGGGAAGGGCTGGGAATGCTAAGGGACTGGCAAAATCTTGTGCACAGTCAAGCTTGGGAGTCTGACCAATCTGAGCCTGACTGTCTACTTCTGACCCTCTCATGGAGGCCCCAGCTATAAAGAGTAGGGGGAAGTTGGTAGATATTCAACCAAACTGTAGAATGTAGCAAATCTGCTCTGACTGTTCCCTATGGGAATTTGGGATTTAGCTGTGACCTCCTAAGGTTTGTGTATATGTTCTCAATATTTGGTCAACACCAAGTCAAGTTCAGCCTAACACTTACTCACCTACTCACTGTCTGCCAGTATCAACCTCTTCTATACCCACTGGCTTGCCCTTGAGTTTGACCAGAGAGGAGAGGCTGGTAGACCTTCCATTCCTTGTTGGTGTAGATCCACCCTCCTGGATCCTCCTGCCAGCTAAGGAAACACTTCTCCCTGGGTCCAGCTCTTTCCAGCCATTCTCTACTCTTTTAGCCTGGGGGCAGTTTCCTGCTCTTCTCCACCATTGTGGCCCACCTCTGGATACTTCCTTCCTGAGTTCTCACCGTAACTTTTTCCACCACTACCCTCAAATCTCCTTAGGACAGTCTTGTCCTTCCAGTCATTGAGAGGGCTTCAAGCAAGGCTTCATTTAATCCTTAGAGCTGTGCAAAATCTTGGGCCCAGGGAGGCCTGGGAAGTGAAGTGTCTTACTCAGGGACCACAGCCAGCTAGTGACAGAGCCTGCCACAGACAGTCTGTGTCTCAAAGACGCATCTTTATCTTTCACTGCCTCCCATTCCTAATGAGGCATTTCTCTATAATTAGACCCTCTGAACACTAGCCTTCCAGGCCCTGCGATCTGCTGTCCAGCAAGGCAGAGGAACTCTTGGAGACGAACCCAGCAGTGGTCTCTGATCATGCAGTGAGCCGTATCTCCAGGAGTAATCAAGGAGCTCTGGGGCTCATGCCTCAGGCTAGAGGAAAGTAAGTTTTACTTACAAGACATATACTGTGAACTGACTCACCCGTAGCTGCCCTGGAGAGAGGAATGAGGGAACAGCAAACACTACTTGCCGGTCCAGGCAGTCATGGCCACAGAGCAAGGTCAGCATGTACCTTCCTCGGGCAACTCTTCCAGCCCCAGTGCAGTGCTCACTGATGTATGGGGAACCTGGAGGCACAGAAGCTGCTGAGTCTGCTGTGGAAGGGGTCATACGTTGGTCATGTCAAAAAGCAAGAACAAAGACATCCTGGGACATCTTCTCTCCTGTTCCATCCATCCATTCATCCATCCACTCACACCTGAAGCACTTTCTTCTATCTGTCCATGAGTAGGCATTGAGAATGGAGTAGTTGTGTGTGTGTGTGTTTGTCTGTGTTTGTGTGTGTGTGTGTGCGTGTGTGTGTGTGTGTGTGTGTGTGTGTGTGTGTGTGTGTGAGAGAGAGAGAGAGAGAGAGAGAGACTGAGACCCACATCAATTCAAGTAGAGTACAAGATTCCTAGCCATTCTTTCTCTGTTATCCTGCCTCAGAACCCTGTTTTTAAAGTTCCCTTGAACTTTCATAATTCAGGTAGCATTTGCTAAAACGAAGCCTCCTCTGCCAGGATGCTCAAAGCTGGATAGGAAAAATGGACAGGCTACTCACAGTGAGAAAGCAGGCAAAGGAACCCCTGGCTGAGTGATCTTGAACAGTTCCCTCAAAGATTCCCAGGCCAGGGCATTAACATTGACTTTGCCATGGTCATCATCTTTGCTCCTTTCTGTGTGTCTCAGGTAAGAACATTATTTTCTCCCTCTATGTAGAAGCACACGCAGTAAGATACCTGTATTTTGTATAGGGAGAGCAGCAATTTTGACTCATTTGTCTGCTAGGGCGTTCCTTTGTGGATCCCCACAAGAGGCAGGTAAGCCCAGAAAAGTTAGAGTGACTTCTTCTAAGAGAACAACACGTAGAAGACTAGGGAGGCAGGCCAAGGTGGGCCACATGGCAACAAGATTCATGTTCTTTATGCCCTAGTGAGCAACTTCTTGGGAACCCGTACATTTTGGGTTACCTCAAAGGCTGATAGAGGAACAGAACACTGAGGGCTGGTGCAGTTCTTGAGTGCTGAACTTCTTCATAATCACCAGCTTAGATCGGAGATCTCCACACAGACAACCCCCCCCCACACACACACACCTAGTGCTTTACTCAGTTGAATAGTTTGCCCTGGGGTTTCTTTGGTGGTCAGATTTCCTAAGGATGAAACAGGCAGTCGTTCTCATCTGGTACACCCCTGACTGGGAAAATGCATTTGGGACTCTGTCTCTTTGTAGGAGAGCACTCTGATCCACTAGCCAAGGCTGCGAGGTGAGCACAGGGCATGTGCAACCATCTGAACAAATCGTACTCCTAGATGTTGTGCAAATCAGGTTTTCATTATCAAAATGAAATACCCGAGGCAGGTTAACTTAATGGAAAAAAAAAAGAGGCTTACTAATTCGGGGATTCAAGGGTATGTCCATGGCCTTGGCTCAGTTCTGCACATACCTCTCGTGTTGTCAGTGTCCTAAGGCAGCTAGTGATACCAAGTAGCAGGGAGACTATGTTCACACCTACAAGTCTGGTCCCTCTCCTACTTCTTTTAAAGCCATCAGAATTCAGTCTTGGGAGCTCTACCCTAACTTATCGTGCCCTGTTCACTCTCCAACGTGCTCATCTTCAGACTTCGAAGCTCTGTTTTCTTTGGATGATGTTCGTACCATTAACAGACGACTCTGGAGACTCGGCTCACCTGTGAGTCTCATGGGCTGGTAACTGAAGCTAGTCCAGATATCCACGAGTCATGAAAGAGACAGGGAGTTGGGATAGGCCAGGATGTGGGGCTGTTGTCCTAGAGGGGACAAAAGATATGTAAGTTGGAAGAGAGGGATGGAATAGGAGGGCAAGTCTTGATGAAGGACCCTACCAAATAAGAAGGCTAAATATTCAGCACAGGAAACCCCTGGGAGAGGGTGAGGCTAGGGCTTAGTCAGTAAAGTGTTTGCCAAGCAAACGTGATGCCATAAGTTTAGACTCCCAGTAACTATGTTAAAGCTGGGTGTTGTAACACACACCTGTGATCCCAGTACTGGGTGAAGGCAGAGACAGACAGATTCCTGGAGCTCACTGGCTAGCTAGCTAGCCTACATGATTTTTCAAGTTCAGGTTTAATCAGAGAACCTGTATCAAAAAATAAGGTGCAGTGTGATATAGAAAGGCATCTGGTGTCAACCTCTGGCCTCCACATTGCCATGTACACACCTGCATATAACCACATAACCATAACACACACACACAGAGAGAGAGAGAGAGAGAGAGAGAGAGAGAGAGAGAGAGAGAGAGAGAGAAAGAGAGAGAGAGAGAGAACACCTTGGTTGATGCATAATTAGTCAATTTCTAGGAAAGACAAATAGCCTCAGACAACCAACCTGGAAGCAGGTTAGAGATTATTAGGCCATCTTGGTAAGCTTTTTCTATCTTGGCTGCCATCTTGGGTCCTATATGTTGCATCCTGGAGGATTGTTGTGGTAGGGGTTTCTGGAACTGTTTGAACAGAGAAGAAAGAGAACCATGGTGATTAGTGATGTCTGCCATGGGCAGGAGGGAAGAAGGACTGGCATATAGACCAGTGCTTGCCATTCACAGAGGCCAGAGTTCTTATGGAGATGAGGAAGTATAGGTCGGAAGAACCTGGACCTCCCCAAGGGCCACTGCACTGGAGTCAAAATGAGAATTATTTAATAAATCTCATTCTATGTGTTTTATGCTCCACACCATAAAGAAGTCTCTGCTCTACCATGCCTTCTCTGGGCACTGGTGGGAAGCCATAACCAATTCGCAGCCTGTCCAATGGGAATAAACAGCTGATAGCAACTGAGTGTTGACTCTGATCTCTACACATGTACACCCACATGCCTCTGGCCTTCACCTGCCTCTGTTTATTGAACAAACAAGCCTTTGAGCTAGTTTACTGAACCTCACCTGGCTAATCTCGATGCTGACTCAGGGTGGTTGTCCACACTGCTTGAGCACCTACTGTATGTTTGGAGCTTTAGGTGTAGCACCATGTTTAAAAAACCAACCTCAAATCCTAGGAGGAATTAGGGGCACCCCTGCCTTTGTGAAAGGCAAAGAGGAGTTCAAGTGTATTACCCAGTAAGACACAGCTCATGATTGGCTAGCTCAAGGAATGGACCCCAAGCCAAAATGTCTCTTCTTGTATATCCTTATTTGGGCAATACCATTGGGTGGCCAAAGTCAGTCATGATAATAACTCCATGCTTATTGCCTTAGTCCTGAACATGAGTTTCCCTTCAGATCCCAGGGGATGATATTTGTCTCCCAAGGCAGATGTTAGTGCATGCTCATTTCCCATGTTCCCAACTTTACAAGAGGGACCTCTTTTTCCTAAACACTACTGAATGTCCTCCTTACAGTGATCCTCAAGTTCAAGGACAAAGATCGGTTCAGGATGTGTTAGTCTCCAGATTCCTCCTTTTCTGAAGAGTGTGTTACTGTGCTGTGGTGGCCACAGTAGAATACCACAAACTGGGTGGCTCCCTACCTTGAATTCATTTCTTTGTACAGGTCCATAGGCCGGACATGCCATTGACAGAATTCATTCCTCGTTTCTGCCCAGACCTCTCCCTGGCCGTCAGGTAGGCATTCCGTGTTCACATTCCATAGTGATCCCTCAGTAGCCTCTCCTGATATCCGCTTTGTGTTCAAGTGGCTTACCCAGGTCCATGCCTTCTCATCCAAATTTCCTTTTTTTTTTTTATAAGAATACAGATTACATTAAATGTACCCAGCACACTCATTTTCACTTGATTACTTCTGGTAAGACCCTGGTTCCAAAATAACGTCCCTTTAATGTGTTACTGGAGGTATGAATTTCAACATATGAAATATAATTCAATTCATGTCAGCACCTGTCAGAACCTGTCTCTTCATGTGTAGTATAACAAGGGATTTTATATGACTATGGAAATTTCCAAATGGTTAACCATAAGTTCACCCACATTGTGGACTACCCTGTGTAGGCACCCATGTGCAGTGCACAACCTGTATTACTGTCCACAGTGATCTCTAGGACAATCCTCTGAACAAATCATAGGACAGTAAAAAGTCTATAAAACCCTGTTACAAAGACACTTATAATTCAGAATCATTCACTGAACCTTTATGGCTCTCACATAGTGTACACAGTGTGCAACTGTGGACTGACACGTACACAGCACAAGAGGTGTGAGTCAATGTGTAATTTAGTGTGAAAAACTCAATGGATGACAACTTGGTTGACTTAAATGACTTCATTGGCCTAATTTCTGGGAACGTTGACAAGCAATCACTTACAAAAAAAATGTCCAAACATAGCGGATGCCCACCAGGAAGAAATATCCCTTTAGAAGCAATTTTCATGGTACAGCTAGTCAAGTGGTTCCATTAAATATGGTTCACTATGGTAACTCTAGGGATGATAACTCTTGCCACTTCCTCAGGAGCTTTGCTCTCACTAACTTTCCTAGCTTTTGTCCATCCCCTCATGTAACCATAGAAGCCATGTATTGGACGGTGGATGAAGCTCAGGGGGAGAGAAGAGCATTCTCAAGTCTCTTGTTCCATCCCCCCAAATAAAAACCTATATGTTTGTGGAGGATTGAACAGGGTTACCGTGGAAAATAAAAAAGAAAGTAAGGTGATTTAGCCAAGGAGATGAACAAAACAACCATATGAGGGTAGTGACTGGGTCCTGCCAGTGCCTCCCTAGCCTGGAGTGTAGGTTAATATTAACAGGCTCAAGGTGATGTGAGGTTGTGCAATCGAGGGCCTGGCCACCAACTCCCACGGATGGTCCTACCATCCACCTCATCTCCTGGACCTCAGTAGCTCTCCATGTAATGCCCAGGATGGGGGATGTCAGTTCTGGGCAGTGGAGTGTCACCACCTGCTGTGATGATGTCACTCTGAACCAAGCATGTCAGCTGGTGTCTCGGTGTCTCGGCACATCAGTGTCTTTTCATGCAGGCTGTGAGTGTTGGG